AATTTTACTAGCTGATTGAGAGAAATTGAGAAACGTCTGTTTCAAACTATCCAAAACATTAGATGAGAGAATCCAAAATCCTCTTCCGGCAAAATTAAAAGCCTCAAAGATGTTCTTTGGAATAACCTTGGTTATTTTAACATTTGGTGACAACTGAACTCCAATTCTTCCTGTTCCATCAAAATTCTCATCGGGGGTGACCCCAATGTCTAAATCCTGCTGTCCCCTCTCAACCCTGAGCAAGACATTTCTTTTGGGATTATTCTTAATAATGTCAACAACCTCAGAAACCACACTGGGGCCGGTTTTTGGTAAGTCGCTACCATTAATGGCAAGGATAATATCCCCTGCACGCAATTCATCTCGGGAAGCAGCTGAAGCGGTTCTCACCTCAGGCACAAGCACCCCCGGAAAGGCCTCTTGTACAGACATACCAAAAGATACTACTTGAGCGAATATGATCATATAAGCAAAGATGATATTGGCGACCACACCAGCTGATATCACAATCACCCTATCTATTATGGGTCTATTCTTAAGCAAATTTACATCATCAACAGGAATATCACTCTCTGGGTCATTATCAGGGAACCCCACAAATCCACCTAAAGGAAAAGCTCTAATAGAATACTCTACATTGTTTGCATTGAATTTAGCTAGAATAGGACCAAACCCAACTGCAAACTTACTTACATGAATTCCCTGGAGGTAAGCAGCAAGAAAGTGCCCACCCTCATGAACCACAACAATAGCAGTCAACACAGCAGCTGCCTCCAAAACAGATTCAACACCACCAAAATCAAATCCAGGACCAGCCTGTGTCTTGAAATCAAGCCTTTGCAAAAGTGGGTAGCAACCCTTTTGGTAGAAAAACCGGTTCTTGCACTGAAAACCAACGGTTGTTGAAGAAAAAGAGCAACAAATAGAAGACAGAGGAGATTTTGAGAAAAGGGCTTTCGGTTTCAAGGCGTGGTCGAGTAAAGGCGGCTTTGAATTGGATAATCTACTGAAAAACCATAAAGAAGGAGAAGGTCTGGAGGAGGAGAGCTTTATGAACATGGCTTCTCCCTGGGTTTAGCGGGCACAGGATGGTTGGGAAGAGAATCTATGGCGAGAAAACAAAATAGAAGCGGATGGATAATTCATGGAATTATCCAAATATGGAAAATCTGTGTGGAGGGGAAGATAGGTGAGCGATTTTCCTCTCGTTTTCAAACACAAGTTTGGGTTTTGTTAGAGTAGCACATCTGCACATGGGTTATGGATTGGGTTGGGTTAGCCCAAGCCTGCAAGCAGTGTGGCAGGTGCACCAAAAAAAATTCGAACAAAGAAGAGGCTTCCAACGACTTTATGGTTGGATGAATTTGAAGGAAAATAAAATATTTAGGATGAAAGTTTAAGAAACCAAAATGAAAAAAAAAAAAGGCAAGAAGAAATATAATATATTGAAGTGCAAAGAAAATTAGGAAAATGAATAAATACCCAATTCCATACCTTCAATAACTGAAATTCAAATTCAAAGAGAAGAATAAAATCAATACCTTGAAAAAAGTTATTACAAAATTGTATTTCTTTGCAACAAATAAATATAGATGTTTTGTGAAAATAAAATACTCTTATTAATTAAATTTAGTTATCTTATCTAAGAGATTTATTTATTACAACAATTAAGACTTCTTTTTTTATTTTCACCTTTATTTTTATAATAAAATTACTAATGCATTTCTATCTCTCTAGAGATGTGGATAAAATTAAATATCAACATTTAATATCTTATTAAAAAAAATAAAGGGATTAAATCAGAGAAATTTTATTAAAAATGAAACAATAAAATCCAAACAGAAAAATTTAGTGCAACTATTGGACAAGTTC